TGTGTGTGTGTGTGTGTGTGTGTATGTGTATATATATACGTGTGTATATATATACGTGTGTATATATATATATATACGTATATATATGTGTATATGTATGTGTATATATAACTTATGACTTTATTGTAATAAAACTGAAGGACGGAGAAAGATTGAATGTTTTCTGCTTTAAACACGAATAAATCTGCAAAAAGAATTAAAACAGATTAATTTTTTTGTAACTTCTGTAGTAAAATACTTCTGTTAAACGTCTCTTATTCTTGTCTAATTTATTACATATTCGTTTAATATTTATTATTACATGTTATTACATATTTGTGTATTAACATGTAATAAATGTTGGAGGAGACAGAATAAAGGTTTAAGTGAAACAAAATAAAGTAAAAACCTAAAACTCTGACGGACGTCTCTACGGTCTGAGCTCGTGAGACAATGACGTCACCTTTTGTCCTAAAACAAAGGGTGTGTTTGTTGAAACAGACATGTTTCACCGGTCGACGAGGTCCCCCTCCGGGCGGGCGGAGTTTGCTGCGGTGAAACACCGGTGTATCATCATGTGACCTGATCGAAAATTACATAAGTTTTTTTTATCACCATTTAAAAGAACTTATAGTAGTATCGAGGTAACGTGTCAACCACCATCACTCTCTTACGTCTGTTTTAACGTATCGGTGTTTCTTTCTGGCGGGGTCACAGGATTTAACGGGGCAGTTTTTGCAATAACACCTGTTACTTTTTACAGACGAAGGACGTAAACTATCCGTAAATAAACCGGTAAAAACAGCCAAATATGAGCCGAATTTACCGGACGAAGCAACATAACTGTTCTGTAACATTCAGTGATTTACTCCGGTGTTTTAAAACTAACGTCACCTCCGTTAAACAGCCAAAGAGTTCCAGAAAACCGTTAAGTCTGTTTAGACGGAAGCTAATTTAAACCTCAACTAATTAGCTGTGAAGGTAATATATGAACGTGTATGTTAATTTAGTCACAAGGACGTTGTTGTCTATTAGCCATATTTATTTCTTCTTAAACTCCGCCCCGACCAGCAGGGCGGGGACTATCCTTCTCACGCTAACCGTTAGCAGTAATGCTAACCGTTAGCAGTAATGCTAACCGTTAGCAGTAATGCTAACCGTTAGCAGTAATGCTAACCGTTAGCAGTAATGCTAACAAGGGTGCGTCTGATTTATGACTCGCTGAGTCCCGGAGCAGTTCCTGAATAAAAACAAACATTGGTACATTTTTCTAAATTAATAACTAATTAATTAAGCCAAATATGCATCACTGAGATGTGATGTCAAATTATGTTTATTGCATTTATTACATATTCGTGTAAAAATATTTATTTAATAATTAAGGGTTAGGGGTTAAATTAAGATAGAGTAAGGCAAAATGTATCATAAAGCATTGTTGTTTTTAATTAATGATTCATCGGATAATAAGTAAATAAATCATTTTGCCGTACAAAGTTATAGTTATGAGATAAGTAAAAAGTTTGATTTATTAACTGATAATTCATGATAAAAATAGAACTGTTTCAAAAAGGCTAAATTGAAATAGGAATGGGCTTCTATACATAATTAATAAACTCTAAAACAACATAAAAACAAGTTTTTATGTTTTTTTAAATTTAATTCAATTTATTATTTATTATTTTAATTATTTATTTTGCTCCTTTACTATTTTTTTTCCTTTGTCCTTTATCTTTCTGCTTTATAAGATTTTACTGTGATAGAATTCTTATTATTTTTAAATACACAGAATGAATGTACCGGGTTGACAGTATTATCTGTAACACCTGTCGGTGCTGTGGGTCACACCGTGTGTGTGTGTAAGTGTGTGACGTATTCAGGTGAACTGTCCCTTTAAGAGCCTCGTGTTGATACAGGAAGTGTGAGGGGTGTTTCCAGCTGATCTGCACAGCAGAAGAAGAACCGGAGTCTCCCTCAGCAGAATTAGTCCGACCTACCTGCCTCCTTTCTCGGACACCAACAGAGCACACACCCCGGTACCGGCTGGATCTAGACTGTCATGGTCCCGGAGCGGAGATGGCGTCCTTTCCCGGTTTGTGTGCGGCTGTCGGTCCCGAGGAGAACGGAGAGCTGGACGGTTCTCTGCAGCAGATGCTGAAGGCCATCGCCGACGAGAGGAACCGACTCAACGTCCGGCAGGAGATCAGCGGACTGGGTGAGCTGATCGGTCCGGTATCGATCTACCGGAGGACCACCGGAGAGAGGAGTGGTTTATATACCTTCTAATGTGTGTATAAGTACACACATATACTCTGTAACAGTCATCTCAGTGAGGATAATACCTTCTAATGTGTGTATAAGTACACACATATACTCTGTAACAGTCATCTCAGTGAGGATAATATCTTCCAATATGTGTATATGTACACACATATACTCTGTTACAGTCATCTCAGTGAGG